TCCATATCAAAGGTAAATTGCTTAAAAGGATTCAACGGAGTAGTTCCACAATGCTTCACCATCCCTCGAAATCTGGACGTTTGTGGAAAAAATGAGTTTTGTTGGTTCCATATTCTTGTCTTGTTGTTGGGTGTATGAAAGATTTCGTTTGGGCTATGATGTCTCCAATATAGTGTCGTGAATCAAGTATTTTTTAAGTCCTCAAAAGTATTAAAATTCCTTAGTTTTCGGAGGGTTCGTTTCTTGATGAAGGTGATGTTGTGCTGCTGCCTGCAGGTAAACTTAGCTTATCCATATGAGTTCCTGACTTCAGTGTCAGGCTACATTAGAGAAGATTTACATCCTGTCAGGATTCACTCACTTACTTTCCACAGCAATGAGAGAACATATGGTCCATTTGGCAACGAGGGAGGGACATTTTTCAGTTTCCCACCGGTCGCTGGGAAGATCGTCGGATTCTTTGGGAGGCGTGGCTGGTCTCTTGATTCCATTGGAGCATATTTTGGACCGATCTCTTTTCCATATCCCTTTGAAGCCGTAGGCCCATTTGGAAATAGGAATTGTGAAGGCCGATGGGATGACGGCAAGCATACAGATGTCAGACAAATTGATGTTGTTTCTGGTTCAGCAATTGAGGCGATTACTTTTACTTATGAGCCAGGTCGTTCTTTTGCACATGGTACAAGTGGTGGAGGCACAACAAACAAGGTACTGGTGCTATTAGAGCGATGAACTGTTGATCTTGGTGTTAGATAAAAGATACTCTTTTTATTTCTGATTCATGCAGCTCATAATGGCATGTGCTGAAGACATAATGCGTAAATAGAAATCAGTAGTCGCTAATTTTTAAAACGTGGCCAAGTTGTAACACCGTAATTATAACTCATCCGGGAAATGAAACAGCGGGATGTATGACATTATAAAATTAAAAAAATATCCGATCCCGATTTATTTGTTTTTGAAAATTCGTGATTTTTGTGTCAGTGAACGTTGCTTTGCGTTCATGAGTAGTTTCCATAATGACTTACTGGAATAATTAGCTGTCCCTTTCTGATGTCTTTATTCGAATAATGAGTTATTTTTTTAAACTCAAATGGTGAGTTATCTCGAAATTACACAATAGAACCGATGATGTATCTGCTTTTTGTATGATATATACGACATGACAGTGAATTAGGTAAGATAATCTTTTTTTTTCCGCTTATGCCATTTACCTAACTATCTAGAAGTTGGTGTCACGTGCTAGTTACTATCATGCATAATGCTTTTGTTTTTCAAGTTGTTGCACTAACTATTCCTTACATTCTAATAATTATTACAGATAAATTTGGACTGGTTAATTGAGTATCTAACTTCAGTTTCGGGCTATATTACGAGTGATTTTGGCTCTACTATCATCCATTCGCTCACGTTTCAAAGCAATAAAAGAACATACGGACCATTCGGCACTGAAACCGGAAGGAAGTTTTCATTTCCAGCCACTGGGGGAAAGATCATTGGGTTTTATGGGAGTTCGGGTTCCCATCTTGAATCTCTCGGAGCATATTTGGAACCAATCTCTCATCTACACCCCATCAAGTGTCTTGGACCATTTGGAGGCCAAGGTGGAGACCCTTGGGACGATGGAAAATTCAATGGTGTAAAGAAAATAAAGATGATGTTGGAAGATGTTGTCAGCTGCATCTCCTTTGAGTATGACACTAATGGCGAGTCTATTTGGTCATCTACACATGGTCACAATGGCAACGGAGATATCCATATGGTGAGTTCATTGCATATCGTCCATTCAAATTACGGTGGATCCTCTCTCTCTCTCTCTCTCTCTCTCTCTCTCTCTCTCTCTCTCTCTCTCTCTCTCTCTCTCTCTCTCGCAAACCTCCTTATCAATTCTACGAGAACTTTTGTGAAAGCCTTTGATTTGCTTCTCTTCGATTAGAAGTATTTTCCCATTATCCTAATTTTTGGCCTAATCCTTCTTTTGGTGATCGATCCAACCTCTAAGAAAAATAAGATATACCTCGGTTATATTTCATTTCTTCGATAAGTTCAGTAACAAGCATAATAGCCCTATTGTTTTGATGAAAAGAAGAACCTATGGTTATCTTTTAAAGAAATTTCCAAACGAATAATTTCAACGAAATCTTTTAATTTCTTATTTACTATGTTCACTTTTTGTATTCCTCTATCCGTAAAGCACATTGAAGGTACTGAAATGACTATGATAGAGTTTTTCTTATCAATATTAATATCTACACTAGAAGGAATGTTTTTATGCGGTGCGGTATGGTACGGTGAAGGTCTTAGGCACCTCACTACCCCACGCCACCATTAGATCAAGTATTAGTTTTCTAATAAACTTGAGAAGCTTTATCAAAGTAAATTGTGAGTGATAGAAACCCTATACATGATGTACAATGATAGAGTATGGGTTGTGGAAATCATCTTAGAGGGAAATGAAAACCATCCAAATGTACTGAATGATTGAAGTCGTCTTTTGATCATTTAAATTTCTTCCCGTAATTTTTATTTGGTACGTTACACAAAGGTCAATTAATATGCTTTATGCGAGATAGACTCCATGAGAGTGACCTAGTACAATAAGTTTTTATAATGCTAAAGGCGGCGAATCGGCAAAGTACGCTAGAGAACCCAATGGTCTATCATCTTCAATTGTTGACCCGTAAAGTATGACGTAAGAATAGTAGGTTATCCATACATTAGTTTTGAGAAATTCTTGGGTATAAGGATTAAACTTCTAGGTTGTACGTGGATGCGATGTTTGTTTAGGCCACTGCAGTGTATCTATCATCTTTGATATAGATCAATATGACAATTAAATTGCTAATTCTGCAGGTTAACTTGGACTACCCTCGTGAGTTCTTGACCTCAGTGTCAGGTTATACCAGACGTTATAATTCTGTTATCCGATCACTCACGTTCGAAAGCAATTTAAGAAGGCATGGACCCTTTGGTAAGGAAAAAGGAAGCTTCTTTAGCTGTGCATTGACATGCAGCAAGATAATTGGCTTTCACGGAAGGTCTAGCATCCAACTTGATGCGCTAGGAGTCTACTTTGAACCAATTTCTGATCTTCATCTCTTGAAATCCATTGGGCCATTTGGAGGACAAGGGGGAAGTCCATGGGACGATGGAGATAGCACGGGTGTGAGAAAAATAATTGTAAAAGGTGGATCGGCTATTGACTCCATTACTGTTGAGTACGACAAAAATGGGTCTGTGGTTCAGGGCCCTAAACATGGTGGAGATGGAGGACATCTAACACTCGAGGTATGGACTTTAGACATTTACTTAATCTTATGAACGTCCAACTTCTGTGTTGTTGCTAAGGTTTGGTTTTAAGTGGTTTGGAGGTCACGTTTATGCACATGAGCAAGTATTCTAAACAGAGCGTAAAGGTAAAAGTAAGATATGAGAACAGTCCGTGGATTTTGAGTTTAGATTGACAAGTGATCTTGAATGAGAAAGTCATTGTAGTGGCATGATGTAATATCATCATAGAACAGGGACTTCTCTTTGGTTTTCCAACCTTCCTCAGTTCCATTTACGATGAAAGCACTCAATACATTCAGAAAAGTACTGCCTCCGAAAAAGGAAAAAAAAAACATATGAAAAAGGTATTTTTACTATGACTTTAAGTCCGAGAACAATTTTCCTTAATTTTAGTAGCTGTTCTCAAAGCGTTGCCAAACCATATTTTAAGCAGCTGCCTTTCCTTTTGCAATTGTGGTGGACCAAAATAGGTTTTATGCTCTAGGTGCAGCGGAATTATCTATTTAGCTAATACAATGTTTGTCTAACAAAATACAAGTTATCAACCGGAGGGTTTTGTTTACGCTGATTTTGAAGTTTCTACGGTTGGGAGGTTGGGATTTAATATGTTTGTCTTTCTACTTTTGCAGATTAAACTCAATTATCCTCGTGAGTACTTGACTTCATTTTCTGGTCACACTGGATCTTTTAGCGGGGTTATTGTTGTTCGCTCCCTCACATTTCAAAGCAATGAACGAACTTTTGGGCCATTCGGTGAAGAGGTTGGGAAGTACTTTTCTTTTCCATCAACCGGTAAAAAGATTGTCGGGTTTCATGGGAGGTCTAGATTCTTGGTTGATTCACTTGGAGCACATTTTGAGTCTTGACATGCTAAGCTTTACCTTTTTGTTTCCATGTGGTCGATGTTTGAGTTTACACATAAATATGTATGGTCACGGACATTCTTAGAAATCTAAGGGTGTGAATAGGTTGGTCTGATGTTGTCGTGATCTTGTCAGAGTCTCCCAAACCTAGTAATCGGGAACAAAGGTTCCTCTCTAAACATGTAGTGGATATTTTTGTAAGCATCTTTGTAATAAAATTTTTCCTTTGGCCTATGTAATTGTCATCTCGTAAATTTCTTTGGAGAGCGTAATTTATCTTTAGAGGCCGTAAAATCTCTAATCCTGTGGCTCGTAATATTCCACAAAAATCATAATTTATGCCTAAGTTAGGAGTAAACTTCATTTGTGCTATTATTAGTAAAATATTTAATCGATCGTAACTTGCACTTCGTAAAGATGTGTGTGAGTAAATTTTTGTACCAATCACGACTTTTCTTAATCGAAAACAAGTTTGATAACAGATAGGTTTTACAAAACAGATTGGGCAGACCGCCCTTTCCTCTCTGTTTTTTCCAACGACGACGGTCCATATTTATTTATTTATTTTTTGGTCGAAGACGGTCCATATTGAAAGCACGACTTTTCTTAGTTGTTGAAATTGCTTGCAAAATTGATTGTATGCAAAAAAATTTCACCGTAAAAAAAGTGTAAATATAAATTGTTGTCGAAAATAAAACGTTTTTTTTGTTAATTAATTATTTTAAATAAAAAATGATTATTTAAAAAAATATTTTTCGAATTATATATATTTCGCAAAATAAAGGAAGTTCAATACTCGATTGCACCCGTGTACAATGATTCGAGGCAGCTTCTTCTACCAACGAACGTGCTATATATGAAGCTTCAAATCCATGTCTGCGTTTTAAGACACGACTCTGTCACGTGATACAAAAGCACTTTCGGGTTGAGTTGACGAGTTCAAACCATATTGTCCTCGTGCGAGCAAGTTGCTTCTTCCAGTTCTCTGAACCAAACTAACTCCACTCAACACCTTGTCCCAACATTCATTTGAATAAGCAGTCTGCCCTGACAGCGGAGCTTATTTTGTTCATCCCCTTTTCTCATCTCGTTCGCGACTTGGGCCTCCTCTCTACGTTTACGCTTTACCTGCGAGGAGAAGTGGCAACCATTTCCGCAGTCTCTCACTCGATCACGGATTGTGCTGATGGGAACCAAAGAGATCGAGCAACGCATTTCGTCTTCTGCTTCAATCCACCAATGGAAGTATGACGTGTTCGTGAGCTTCAGAGGCGAGGACATAAGGAAGACCTTCGCAGCCGACCTCTTCCGTGCGCTGAAGCAGGCGGGGATCTACTATTTCAGGGACAACGACAAAGTGCAGACCGGGATTTTCATCGCGACAAAGCTGCTCGGCGCGATTCGCCACTCTAGGGTTGCCCTCGTCGTGTTCACCACCAACTACGCCGACTCACGGTGGTGCTTGAACGAGCTGGTGGAGATCCTGGAGTTCAACAGGAGGTTCAGAGATCATCAGGGTCACGTGGTTCTGCCCATTTTCTATGATGTTGAGCCAGGGGACGTTCGGAAACAGAGTGGGCGATTCGGGGATGGTTTCGGAAGGTGTTTGGCCACCCACCGGGACGATTTGCTGGTGCAGAAGTGGAGGGATGCGCTTAAAGAAGCTGGCAATTTGTCAGGATGGCACTTGAATAATGATGCTAATCGGTAATCCATTTATTAAGTTCACTCCCGAAAAAGCTCATATTAGTGGTCGATTTGAATTATTCTGTCGATTGAGTTTAGTTCATGGGTTTGCCGCTCATCTTCTGATAGCCTTTCTATGATGTAGTTACTCATATTGGACTTGTTCTTCCTATCCAACTATAGGGATCAATCAAAATTCATCAAGCAAATTGTAGAACATCTCTTCAGGATCAGCCCTAGACCAATCTCCCCCTATTTTGTCGAAAATGCTATTGGGGTAGATTCCTTTGTAGAGGACGTGATATCGTTGCTGGAAATTGGGTCAGAGGATGATGTCCGTGTGGTTGGAATATGGGGAATAAAAGGAATTGGTAAGACAACGGTGGCCAAAGTCGTCTGCGATCGCAGTTTTAGGGAATTTGAAGGTGTTAGCTTACTCGAAAATGTCGGAGATGCAAACCAAGATGCGATTTTACTTCTTCAGAAGAGACTTCTCCACGATGTTCTTAAGGTACAAGATCTAGAATTGTATGATCTTAACAGCAACATCAACGAGATAAAAACTAAGCTCTGCCAGAAAAGGATCCTTCTAGTCCTCGATAACATCACTAAGAAGGACCAAATTGAGTATTTCGGTGGTGGAGATCAAGAATGGTTCCAACATGGGAGTAGAATATTGATTACTACAAGAGATGAGCAGTTGCTGGACGATCTCAAAGTAGATAACAAGTACATGCTCCCAGGATTGACTCATAAAGAATCGCTCCAACTCCTGAGTCGCCATGCCTTCCACAAAGACCACCCTAAAGAAGGCTATGAAGAGTTGTCAGAGAGGCTTGTCCACTACACGGGTGGACTTCCACTAGCTCTTAAAAGATTTGGCTCCTTCCTTTCTAAGAAGAGAAAAAATCAGTGGCATGAGATATTGGAGAAGTTGGTTAGAGACCCTCATCTTGCCTCTGTTGGATTACCTTTAGAACCATTCTCCTCTGTTCTTCCCTTTCAATCCGTAGGGCCATATGGAGGTCATGGCGGGGATTCTTATGATGATAAAACATCCACTGATGTTAGAAAAATAACTGTGGTTATTGTGAGATCAGTGATCAAGTCCTTTACTATTGAGTATGATCAGAATGGATGCTTGGTCCGCTCGCCAAGACATGGTGGACCTTCGGAAGGCAAAATATGCACGGTGAGTCCATTATTATGGTATGCTATGTCATGTATTTGGGCTTTTTCGGATATGTGCATTGCAGGCTTTGTCTATTTATATATATTTAAGTCTACTTATGTTGCTCCCTATCAAAATATGAGCTATTTGGTCATTAGAATAGAAGAGTCCATATCAAAGGTAAATTGCTTAAAAGGATTCGACGGGGTAGTTCCACAATGCTTCACCATCTCCCAATATAGAGTGTCGTGAATTCCATATGTTTATGCAAAAAAATTAGGGTTTTAAGATGGAGTTGAATGATTTCGATAGGAAGTGAGCAAAAGAGAAGGAATGCAAGTACTCAAGCAATATCCTCTTCAAGTACTTTTTAAGTCCTCAAAAGTATTAAAAGTCCTTAGTTTTCGGAGGGTTCATTACTTGATGAAGGTGATGGATACTATATTTGTGCTTCTGCCTGCAGGTAAAATTAGATTATCCAAATGAGTTCTTGACTTCTGTGTCAGGCTACATTAAAGACGAATCTGGATGTGTCGTCATTCAATCACTTATGTTCCACAGCAATAGGAGACCTTATGGTCCATTTGGCAATGAGAGCGGGAACTATTTCAGATTCTCACCGACTGATGGGAAGATCATCGGATTCTTTGGGAGGTTTGGCAATTCTATTGATTCCATCGGAGCATATTTTGGACCGATCTCTCGTCCATATCCCTTTGAAGTTGTAGGCCCATTTGGAAATAGTAATGGTGAAGGCCGATGGGATGACGGCAAGCATACAGATGTCAGACAAATTGATGTTGTTTCTGGTTCTGCAATTGAGTCAATTACTTTTACTTATGAGCTAGGTCGTTCTTTTGCACATGGTACAAGTGGTGGAGGCACAACAAACAAGGTACTGGTGCTATTAGAGTGATGAACTGTTGATCTTGGGGTTAGATAAAAGATACTCCTTTTATTTATGATTCATGCAGCTCATAATGGCATGTGCTAAAGACGTAATGCGTAAATAGAAATAATTAGTAGCTAATGTTTAAAACATGGCCAAGTTTTTTTTTTGGTCGAAACATGGCAAAGTTGAACCATCGTAATTATAGCTCATCCAGGAATTATAACAACGGGACGTATAACATTGTAAAATTAAAAAATTATTCGATCTCGATTTATTTGTTTTTGAAAATTGGTGATTTCTGTGTCAGTGAATGTTGCTTTGCGTGCATGAATTGTTTCCGTAATAACTTAATGGAATAATTAACTGTCCCTCTTGGATGTCTTTATTTGAATAATGAGTTATTTTTTGAAACTCAAATGATGAGTTAATCTTGAAGGTACACAATATAACCAATGATGTATCTGCTTTTTGTATGAGATATACGACATGATAGTGAATTAGGTAAGATCATCTTCTTTTATTCTTTTTTTCTGCTCATGCCCATTTACCTAACTATATAGAAGTTGGTGCCACATGCTTGTCACTATCATGCATAATGTTTTTGTTTTTCAAGTCTATTGCATTGACTATTCCTTACGTTCTAATGATTGTTATAGATAAGTCTGAACTGGTTAATTGAGTATCTAACTTCAGTTTCGGGCTATATTACGAGTGATTTTGGCTCTACCGTCATCCATTCGCTCACGTTTCAAAGCAATAAAAGAACATACGGACCATTCGGCACTGAAACCGGAAGGAAGTTTTCATTTCCAGCAACTGGGGGAAAGATCATTGGGTTTTATGGGAGTTCTGGTTCCCATCTTGAATCTCTTGGAGCATATTTCGAACCAATCTCTCATCTACACCCCATCAAGTGTCTTGGACCATTTGGCGGCCAAGGTGGAGACCATTGGGACGATGGAAAATTTAATGGTGTAAAGAAAATAAAGATGATGTTGGAAGATGTTGTCAATTGCATCTCCTTTGAGTATGACGCAAATGGCGAGTCTATTTGGTCCTCTACACATGGTCACAATGGCAACGGAGATATCCATATGGTGAGTTCATTGCATATTTTCCTTTTCATATTACAGTGGATCCTCTCTCTCTCGTCCCCTTTCACAAAAGCCTCCTTATCAATTCTATGAGAACTTTTGTGAAATCCTTTCATTTGTTTCTCTTTGACTGGAAGTGTTATTTTTCCATAATGTATCCTAATTTTTTGCCTAATCCTTCTTCTTGTAGGATTTTGTGGAACGACTGCTGATTTTTTTAAAATCTTAAGTTATTAGATGAAGGCGTGGTTTAAGATTTAATTATTCTAACACCCCCCTCACGTTTAATCTAGTCTTTTTGCCAGTACTAAGTGTACACTCCCCATTACGCTTAGTTTTGTCTTTTTGCCTAGTACTAAGCATGGATATGTTTAATTGGGGAGGCAAATGGGGTTTGGAAAGATTTAAACTCGGGAGCTCCAGCTCTGATACCATATAAGATTTTGTGGGACCACTGCCAACTTTTCTAAAAGCTTAAGCCGTTAGATGCAGGTGTGGTTTAATATTTAATTATTCTAACTTCCGATGATCGATCCAACCTCTAGAAAAAAAGGGTATACCTTGGTTATATTTCATTTCTTCGATAAGTTTAGTAACAAGCATAACAGCCCTATTGTTCTGATGGAAAGAAAAATCTATGATTATCTTTTGAGGAAATTTCTAAACGAACAATTTCAACAAAATCTTTCAATTTCTTATTTACTACGTTCACTTTATGTATTCTTCTATATGTAGAGTTGAAATGACTATAATAGAGTTTTTCTTATTGATATTAATAGCTACTCTAGAAGGAATGTTTTATCCAGTGCGGTCAGGTACGGTGAAGGTCTTAGGCACCCTGACCACCCTACGCCACCATTAGATCGAGTATTAGTTTTCTAATAAATTGTGAGTGATGGTAACCTGTATACATGATGTATAATCATAAAGTATGGGTTGTGGAAATCTTCTTAGAGGGAAATGAAAACCATCCAAATGTACTGAATGGTTGAAGTCGTCTTTTGATCATTTAAATTTCTTCCCGATATTTTTATTTGGTCCATTAATATATATGCTTTATGCGAGGTGGACTCCATGAGAGTGACCTAGTACGAAAAGTTTTTATAATGCTATAGGAAGCTAATCGGCAAAGTGTGCTAGAGAACCCAATGGTCTATCATCTTCGATTGTTGACCCTAAAAGTATGATGTAAGAATAGTAGGTTATCCATACATTAGTTTTGAGAAATTCTTGGGTCTAAGGATTGAACTTCTAGGTTGTACGTGGATGCGATGTTTGTTTAGGCCACTGCAGTCTATCTATCATCTTTGACATAGATCAACATGACAATTAAATTGCTAATTCCGCAGGTTAACTTCGACTACCCTCGTGAGTTCTTGACCTCAGTGTCAGGTTATACCAGACATGATAATTCTGTTATTCAATCACTCTCGTTCGGAAGCAATTTAAGGAGGCATGGACCCTTTGGTAAGGAAGAAGGGAGCTTCTTTGGCTGTGCATTGACATGCAGCAAGATAATTGGCTTTCTCGGAAGGTCTAGCATCCAACTTGATGCGCTAGGAGTCTACTCTGAACCAATTCCTGATCTTCGTCTCCTGAAATCCGTAGGGCCATTTGGAGGAGAAGGTGGCGGTCCATGGGATGATGGAGATGGCATGGGTGTGAGAAAAATAATTGTAACAGGTGGACCGGTTATTGACTCCATTACTATTGAGTACGACAAGAATGGATCTGTGGTTCAGGGCCCTAAACATGGTGGAGATGAAGGACATCTAATACTCGAGGTATGGACTTTAGCCATTTACTTACTTAATCTTATGAACGTGCAACTTTTCTGTTGCCGCTAAGGTTTTGATTCAAGTGGTCCGGACGTCACGTAGACATATGTACATAAGCGTGAAAGTATAATGAGTAGAGCGTAGAGGTAAAAGTGAGATATGAGAACAGTCGGTCGATTTTGAGTTTACATTAACAAATGATCTTGAATGAGGATGAACCTCTGAGAAAGTCATTGTCGGGACATGATGTAACATCATCTCAGAACAGGGATTTCTCTTTGGTTTTTCAACCTTCCTCGGTTCCATTTACAATGAAGCACTCAATACATTCAGAAAAGTACTGCCTCCGAGAAAGATAAAAAAAGAACATTAAAAGGTGTTTTTCTTTATGACTTTTAGAACAATATTCCTTAATTTTAGTACCTGTCCACAAAGCGTTGCAAAAGCATGTTTTAAGCAATTGCCTTTCGTTTTACAGACGAATGATTTGATAACTTTGGCGGACCAAAATAGGCTTGTGCTCTAGATTCAGCGGAATTGTCTAATTAGCTATTACATTGTTGGTCTAACCAAATGCAACTTATCAGCCGGAGTGTTCTATTTATGCTAATTTTCAAGATTCTACAGTTGGGGGCCTGGGACTAAATATGCTTGCCTTCCTAATTTTGCAGGTTAAACTCGATTATCCTCGAGAATACTTGACTTCATTTTCTGGTTACTTTGAATTTTATAGCCATAATATTATTATTCGCTCCCTCACATTTCAGAGCAATGAACGAACTTTTGGGCCATGCGGTAAAGAGGTCGGGAAGTACTTTTCTTTTCCATCAACCGGTCAAAAGATTGTCGGGTTTCATGGGAGGTCTGGAATGTGTATTGATTCACTTGGAGCACATTTTGAGTCTTGACATGCCAAGCTTTATCTTTATGTGCGCCATGCAGTCGATGTTTGAGTTCACATATAAATGTGTCATCATGGACATTCTCATAAATCTAAGAGTGTGAATAGGTCGGTATGATATATCCTCTAAATATAAAGTGTGTTAATGCATTTATTATAGTGAATCAAACCTTCATCAACTAACCTTGTAACTTAGATATGACACCATCAACAGGAAGCAAGTTTTTATAGAAAGAAGATTTGTTTAAATAATTCGTCAGAAATGGAGCACTTCTTTAAGTCTTGTATTTTAATACGGTGGAAAGGGGAGAGTGAATCAACTGTTCTCTATCCAGGGACTTTGTGCTCATAGATTTTGGTCGGTAGGATAAAATTTAGTTATTCTCTTGGGTTAATACCACGAAAAATTCTAAACTGGTATATATGTGATAAATTTACCTCAAACTAATTTTTTGACCACCAAAAATCCCAAACTGATATATATGTAACAAATTTACCCCAAACTAATTTTTTGATAATAAAAAACCCCAAATTAGTATACTTGTGACAAATTTATTTTCTGTTAAATTGGATTAATACCACGAAACAAACATAGGGGTAAAATTCTAAACCAGTATGCCCGTTAATTGGCACGTGTCATCCAACTCAGCAATTTGACGGTAAAATTTAACGAAAACTAATGGAGGGTAAATTTGTCATAGATGTATCAGTTTGAGGTTTTTGGTAGTCAAAAAATTAGTTTTGGATAAATTTATCACATATGTATTAATTTAGAGTTTTTTTATGGTATTAACCCTGTTCTCTCTTGCCATAGTTGTTCCAACAAGGGAAAATTTCAAATAAGCACCCGAAGTGCCATCATTTTCTCAAATAAGGACCTAAAGTGGACTTTGTGTCAAATAAGGACCTAAAGTGCTATTTTTTTTTTCAAATAAGGGCATGAAGTGGTTATAATAGTTTCAAATAATGGCCTCATCTTGCCGGCTTACTGGCCGACCAAAATTTCCTGCTGATCAAGGGCATTTTCGTCCAAAAATAATTTTAATATAAATTTTAATATAATAAAATAAAATAAAATATTTAAAAAAGAGAACAAAACAGGGGAGGGCTGGCAACCCTCCCCCACCTATGGCCGGCGCTTCAGCGAGGGCCACTAGAACCGGGAGGGTCGGACGACCCTCTCCCAGATCTGGCGAGGGTCGCCGGCCCTTGTCCTGGTCTGGGTGAGCGTCGCCGGCTCTCACCCAAGTTTGGGAGAGAGTCACCAGAACTGTGCGAGGGCTGACAACCCTCCCGCAGACCTAGGCGAGGGCCGGCAACGCTTGCCCAGACCAGGGTGAGGGTTGGCAACCCTCGCCAGATCTAGGAGAGGGTCGCCCAACCCTCTCAGTTCTGGCGAGGGCCACCAGGCCCTTGCCTCTGGTCGGTGAGGGTCGCCAGCCCTTGCAAAAGCACCGGCAACTCAGTGGCCATGGTCGCCGCCCCACCGGCGATGGGGTGGCGGCCACAGTGGGCTGGTAGCCATAAGCGGGGGAGGCCCAGCCCTTCCCCTTTTTTTATTTTTTATTTTTATTTTTTTGAGTTTGTTTTTATGGAAGAAAAACACAAAAGGAAAGAAAGAAAGAAAAAAAAAGAAAAAAAATTAAAAGACAAAAATGCTCTCGACTCCGATAAGGTTATGCCCTTTGTTTAGACTGAGATAGACACTTCATACCCTTATTTGAGACAAGATTCACTTTAGGTCCTTATTTGAGAAAATGAGGGCACTTCATGTCCTTATTTGACATAAGATTCACTTCAGATCTTTATTTGAGAAAATGATAACACTTCGGATTTTTATTTGAAATTTTCCCTTCCAACAATGAGTTTTTTTCTTGACAAAGAGCACTAACAAGGACTCGTCCAAGAGATACTGTTTGCAACATTAGTGCGTTTGTGTCTTGGCAAATTAATAATTTGGTTTAAAAAATTAATAATTTAAAAAATAATTTTCTAAAAATAATTATTTGTGTTGCTTATAAAAATTAGTCAACAAATTTTCATTATCAACAATAATCTATTCCTAAATATTTTCGTTGATGATAAAGATTATTTTGTTAATTCATTTTTGTAAGCGATACTCTCGATCAATTTTAGGAAAATATTTTTCAAATTGTCGATTTTCCGCAAAATAAAAGCACGTGGGTTGTCGTCTATCTTATCTCATCTAATATATGTTGATATGATGTTGAAGTAGGCAAGATAATCTACTATTTTCCAGATCATGCATCATCATCTCAGTAATCGAGAGTGGATCGTACACTAGTCATTGTCATTTATCGTTTTTGCTTCTCGACTTGTTGCATTAACATTTCTTGACCCGTATACATAATGTACAATGACAATGCATGCGGTGTGGAAAGCATCTCCGAGGGATATCAAAGCCATTCAAATGTACTGAACGATTGAAGTTGTCTTTTTGATAATTTAATTTTTTCCTTAATTTTTTTTATATAAGTGCACCAATAATCCTAAAACTTGCTGCAAAGTGCAATTGAGTTCTAGTGCTTTTTTAAAGTGCAATCAAGTCTAAATATGATCAAATTGGTACAAACAAGAGGAGAAATCATGTGATAGGGAGAAATCTCAAGATATTTTATATATGTAGTAAAAAACATGTACTACAATCATGTGATAGGGAGAAATACTTTCCCTTCTCTCAAGAATAGGGAGAAATCTTTCTTTTCTCTCAAGAAAACTTTAAGAGAAAAAATATTCTAGAAAAATTCAATCATAAGTATCATTTATATCTAGTAATAAGTTGTAAAATTAATTTAAGTTTTAATGATAAAAGGTATAAATAGAAGTGCGTAGTAGCCGATAAGTCCAGCAAACAAATATCAATTTTAGGTCACATACGAAAGATAACCAGTTTAAGTAGTAATTTCTTCTTAATAATTTATTCATCAGATTAATAATGTTACTAAATAGTTTCAATATCTCTTAGTATGTATTCACATGTCACTGCATTTTTGTAAGAATTGAGGGCGGATAAGTTGAGTAATGAATTAGAATCTACTTAAGTTGAGGCGCCTTATAAGTTGGACCGAAATGTGAATGCTTAAATAATCAATGAGGGCCAAAAGGTCATGTTTCCGGTCCTTTTACAGTCTCATAGGAGAAAAACAGGAGCGATCCCGCTTGATCAATTGTAATTATCCTATGGCATTCGTAATTTTCCTCACTAAAACTTATTTAATCATTATATATCATTTCGCAATTTTTCTTCACGAGACGCAATTTTCCTTTTGTTGTCGCAAGTCCTGTAAGTCCTGTGATTTGTTGAAATTCCATAAAAAAATAGTAATTTGCCTAAGTCTATAGTAATTATCTGATGGATCGTAATTTTTTTTTGGCATATGTAATTGTCATCTTGTAATTTTCTTTGGAGAGCATAATTTATCTTTAGAGGCCGTAAAATCTCTAATCCCATGATTTGTAATCGTAATATTCCACGAAAATCATAATATATACCTAAGGTAAGAGTAAACTTCATTTGCGTTATTATTAGCAAAATATTTAATCCATTGTGACTTGCACTTCGTAAAGATGCGTGAGTAATTTTCTTCACCAATCATGACTTTTCTTAATCGAAAACAAGTTTGATCGGGTTCACATAAGTCCGTATCTTCCTTCGACGTCCATAAGTTATGATAACAGATTAGGTATTCCAAAACAGATCGGACAGACCACTCTTTCCTTTTATATACAACCACGACGGTCCACATTGAAAACAGGACCAGTCCGTAGAAACACTATTACAAAAACCATAAAACGTCCCCGTTCTTTTGTTCCCTTGAGAAGTCCGACTGTCCAAACAGTCAAAACGGTTGACCGTCTATCATCGACTAATCATTTCTCACGTCTTCGCTTTCAAGAGAAAAAAAAGAACACACAAATTAACTGATTCGAAGAATCTTCTTCTACCAACACAGGTGCTGAAGCTTTAAATCCATGTCCGCGGTTTCAGACATGTCTCTCTCCAGGGAAACAAAAGCTCTTTTAGCTTGACTGGACGAATTCAAACCAAATTATCCTTGAGCGAGCAAGTTGCTTCTTCAGTTCTTTGAACCAAACCGACTCCTTTCGCAACTTGTCTGAACATTCAATTGAATAAGCAGTCTGTCCTGATGCCGGAGCTTTCATTCATCCTCTTTTCTCATTTGCAGAGCCTCCTCTTTACATATACACTTTACCTGTGAGGAAAAGTTGCAACCCTTTTTGCAGTCTCTCACTCAATCACATATTGTGCTGATGGGAACTGAAGAGATCGAGGGATGCATTTCGTCTTCTGCTTCGATCCATCAATGGAAGTATGAAGTGTTCGTGAGCTTCAGAGGCAAGGGCATAAGGAAAACTTGGCGGCCCACCTTTTCCATGCACTGAAGCAGGTGGGCATCTACTATTTCAGGGACAATGACAAAGTGGAGACCGGGATTTTCATCGAGCCCAAGTTGCTTGACTCGTTTCGCCACTCTAGGGTTGCCCTTGTCGTGTTCACCACCAACTATGCCGACTTGCGGTGGAGATCCTGGAGTGCAACAAGACGTTCAGAGTGTTGGTGGGTGAAGCCAAATTTCTTTTGTTAAGGGCTTTTTTGTCTTTTCTATTAGTTTTGTTTTTAGGTTGAAAGCTATACTTTATATCAGGGGGAAAAACAGCATTGGTGCCAAAACTTGTGTACGGAGGCCACTTTGGTGCCAAAAGTTTCAATCGGATCACTTAGGGTGCGCATGATAACCATTCTGTTCCGGAATGAGTTCCTGAACCAGAAATAGATTTTTCTATTTCTGGTTCCTGGATGAGTTTCTGAGAAAAAAAACCCGTTTGATAACGACCAACAATTTCTATTTCTAGAACAGAAACCCGTTTGATAACAGCACAAAATTTCTATTTCCTGAAATAAAAACCCGTTTGATAAACAATAGAAAATTCTATTTCCAGGAACAAAAATCCATTTTTTTAGAAATGGAATAAAAATAATAAAAAATCCGAAAAATTCATAAAAATCTTTAAAAAAATTTAGAAAATCCCAAAAAATTGAAAAATTCCAGAAAAAATCATCAAAATGTCGAGAAAATAAAAAAAAATTAGATTTCAGGAAAATAGGAAATTTGTTGAATTTTTTCAAAAAAAATCAAGAA